AAACATTTCTGATTATTATCAATGTTGAAAATAGTTGTGCTGCTTCGTATTTTTATGGAATTTTCGATAAATGCAAAGTTCAAAAGAAGCATTTATTTGAAATAGAAATGTTTTGTAACATTATGAATGTCTTTACTGCCGCTTTTGATCAATTTAATGCATCCTTGCTGAATAAAAGACTGTCTGACCCCAAACCTTTGAACGGTAGTGTATATCATCATCATTTTCTTTCGGTTTCCTCTTTCAGATTGACAGTTCTCAGCTGATTGGCTGTCGAGAGCTGGTTGCACGTTGCCTGTCCACGCACACGGCTTCCCTGCCTCCTAACACTGTGTACATCTGCCATCCCCCGCCGAACGCCCTGGAGCCTCGGGACGGGGGAGTCCTGCCCCCCTGGCACGTCTCCCCTGCCTCGACAGCGCCCTCTGACCCCAACACCACCCACACCCGTGCGTGCAAGTCCTCGGCCAAGCGGAAGGTGGAACACATGGAGGTGGACGAGTATTTCGACGGGATCAAGCGCCTGTACAATGAGGAGAGTCCCCAGGAGGGGGCGCCCACGTGCACTGCCGAAACACAGCAGAACGCTGGCTCCTCCCCCTGCCCTCCTCTCCAGCCGGTCAGAGAAACCTAGAGGAAACAGCTAAACAATCACACAACCACCGCAGCAGCCGCGTTCATCGGTTCACCTCAGAGCAAGAGAGAGGCCAAAAATACTAACAAAAAAAAACACTGTGCATGATGCCATTTCATAACCGTAAACATAAAAGGCTTTTTAAAAAGCAGAAAAAAATCTATATATAAAGGAAAAATGTTTGCAAAAAAAGTAGAAATATTTTTCCCTCCATCTGTGGAAACTGGTATTATTCCTGTTTGTCTCTTTTTATATGTATTTGCCAATTTTGTTTCCTGTCATTGACTTCATCTGTAACTTTCACTGTTGTCTTTTCTCACTTTTTTTTTTTTTTTCTGTCGAACACAGCCCTCGACACTTTTGAGTGCTTTTAAATATTATTTTATTAAATAAAATGCTTATTAAAATAATACAAAATTATTTTAATAAAATAATTATTTAATAATAATAAATAATATATATTTATAGTAATGAATATATATTTACATATTATTTTTATTATTGTTTTTTTAAGGCCGTAGTTAAAGAGTGGCATTTCTAAAGATGTATATTAGTTTTGTACAAATGTACATTCATTTACGGCTGGGTCTGATTGCGTGTGTGTGTGTGTGTGTGTGTGAGAGAGAGCTTTTGAAGGGTGATAATGTCCCTATCACTTCCTTATACTGAGCATTAAAGATGAGCTAGTGTTGTTCGTGGCATTAGACCACACATGGCGTGACTTGGGTAGATGATCTGTTTGTCGCTTGTTCTAAACCTAGTAATGTAACTGTTGTAATGAGTAGAATAAAGTGCGTAAGATTCTGAACTAACAGAAGAAGCTTTAGGCTGTCACCATTCCTTTGCTGATCATAACCTTCCTGCCGAAAGCTCTCTCTCCTGCTCTGAGGTGCTGATGACAGTCCGGGCCGCTGCTGAGAAACCTCCCAATGCTCGAATAAATGAAAATCTCTACTGAGCTGCTCTTGTCTTGTCGTTTTTCTGAGTTTGTGTGTTTGTGGAGAAATAATGCTGTGCTAAAGGATCCCTGTTAACAATGAAACCTGAGATCTTTACTGTGGACTCATTGCACTCATTAACAAAAGAGAGAAACTGAGGGGTCATGATCAGACTTCTGCGTCATCTGTTGTGTTCTGTGTACCATTTATGTGCTGTAGCTAATGGATGATGGATGAGTTGCCAAAGAAAAGGTTATTTAATATCTAAAGCCTACAATGGCAAGTGAATTAGCGACGTATGAAAATGTAGCTATTTATTCAAATAAGAATTTGTTGAATTACTGCAACTGCAGTGTTTTATCTAATAAGGTAGCATGAGTTCAAGCAAATTCCACAGATGGAGCAGTGAAATGTTCCTGCGGCTGCCCATATGCAAATGTAATATGTACATAAATCACATTTCTGGTAATGAAATATATTGTCATATATGATGTAAAAATTAAACAATTTCATATATTAACATACATCTAGCCAAAAAAAAATGTAGCCTACATATTTATGCACTGAAAAAAAATGATTCATTGAATTTACTAAATTTTTTAAAGGTAAGTGGTTGCAATCAATTTATTTTAGCTACATTTAAATAAATTTAGTTGACTAACTTTCAACATATATATATTTTTTTTTATTAAATGTAGCTAAAAGAAATTGTTTGCAACCACTTACCTTAAAAAAGTTAGTATCATTTTTTTTCCAGTGTATGTCTAATACATTTTTGGACATATGACATCTACATGTATATCCATTCAAAAACCTGTCAATACATGTTGATATTATGTAAGAAATAATAAAATATACACACGTTTTTAAAACATTTATTACAAAAACATATAAACATACAGATTTTCTGTATATATGTTGTTTTAATAAAGTTGCATATATAAAATATATATTGTTGACATGGTTGCTAAATAAAACCATCGAATAGATATTATTAACATATGTACATAAGTAAATTTTACTATGGGGATTTTTTTGTAACGAACTTGACCTAGAATGTATATATGTGAAAATTACACATGATCTTGCAGGTAACACATATGGCAATATCACTCTTGATATAGGGTAATGTACAGTATGTCATATATTACATTTTCGTATGGTGCATTTCATATAATAAAAAACAGCAACAAAAATAATGCTTCAGAATCTTTTTCCATCATTAACTTTGTTTATATTTTCATTGCATGAATGTCAGTGTTCAGTGGATGTATGTATGTTTTAGTGGATGGAGTCAGTTATCGTCAAGTTCACACAGGTGTAGTTCATCACATTAATTATGAATATGTTCAACTACAAGAGTTTTGAGCAGTAGCCTACTTATATTTTATCAGTTAAAACAAACACATTTTATTGTGTGAAATCTTTTCATTGAAAAGTGTGCTGCTGTTTTATATAGGCCTATATAATAAATACAACTTTTTTTTTATCCAATGCAGTGGAATTTATACATTTTCAAATCGTCTCAAATGTGTCCAAATACATCAAGGTGCCACTGCTTACTTAATGCTTGTGTATCAATATAAATAATAAATCCATACATAAATTTATAATAACGTTAGTCTACATATTTGAAAACAAATGAAGTTTTGATCATATTTTATACAGTACAGTATATTTTAGCAGTTTAGTAGTAAGATTTATTTAATATGGTCATTACCAGACTTCATACCAAAGTTTTTAATAGACAAATTAATTTATACATAAATATATACATGCATTCATAGATGGATAGATATTAGATGTTTGCAGTACGCAGGTAAGCTCAGCACGCAGGTGGAACTGAGAGAAACCCGTGGGCGGAGTTACAATCTCAACAAGCGAAACCGTTTGTCAGCTCCTTCAGTTCAGTTTGATTGCGCGATAACACGAGAGAGATTCACACGGCGCGAGCATGGCCACCGACTTCACACAAGACTCCGTGCTGCGCTTCATCATCAACAACGGCGGGACGGTGCGAAACGCGGACTTGTTAACCCACTACAAGCGGTTTTTGCGAGAAGACGAGGGGAGAGAGCAGAACCGGGAGTTGTTTAAGAGGTATGTGAACTCCGTGGCGACTGTGAGGCAGGAGGAGGGGGTGTCTCATGTTGTGCTGAGGAAAAAATACCGTGTGCATCTCGGAGACGTCGCCAAGAACCGAGAGCCGGAACGAGACTCAAAACAAGCGGTGAGTGGGAAACCACAAGCTGCTTTGACCATCCCGACTTGCGTTGAAATCCTGCCAGTTGCTGGTATCCTCACCAACAATAACAACGATTCTACTCCCAGTTTTGAGAAAGCTGTCAGAACTTCATCACCACATGGGAGGGAACAACCTTCTGTCTCTACTTCCTGTGAGAAGCAGGTTAACGACACCTGCCCTTTGAAACCAACCCCATCTGACACGGACAGTCGCTCAAATGGGAGCGGCCAGAGCTATGAACAGCCATGGGAGTTGAAAGCAACCAGGGAGGCAACGGAGCTGGAGCACAACGGTGTTTACGTTGCCAAACAGAGACAATTAAGGGAAGCAGATGGTTGCGAGCAATTCTTTGTCAACCCTGCGCATTGTGCTTACTACGAGGTTAGAGTGTCGCCTACTGCTGAAAGGAAAAGCACCTCAGACGTTCACATCAAAGAATGGCCTTTGCACTCGATCCTCGGACAGTCTCACATATACAAGTCTTCACCTTGCCTTCTGGACCGCCCTGTTTCTCCACACATACTCTCCCAGACGTACAACCAAGCTGGCTTAAGCCGAAGCAATGATAGTCTACTACGACCAAACGTAGGGTTTAATGGATTTCCGATCCAGGAGCGGGACAAATATGAGCTTCACGGCTTGTTCGTTGACGATCCTGCAATGTACCTGCAGATCCGTCGCCCATCGAGTCTATCCTCAAGTCGTGATAGCGTCTCAATCCCATCCCCTTTTTCTACTCCACCCGACACCGGTTGGCCGCATGGCAATGAGTGTTCCAGCGACCAGGGACTTGTCCCAGGACAAGACGGGAACGATGTACGCACTTTCCTGCGTCGCACTCAGGAAGCAAGACTGCTTTCGCAACTCCACCAACAGAGTCGCACCATCACACCCATGCACCACTCGACGGGTCACCTCGTTGACGAGGACTCGAGGGCGTCTACGCGAAGCAGTTCGCCAGAGACCCGTCACGGACCCATCGTCCGCCGCTTGACGTCCCGTCTGCGGAGTCGCATGTGTCGGAGTCTCGGAGAAGACCTTGATCAGCCGTTCCCAGAGGACAACATCTCAGCGCGGCACAACCGTCTCCAGCTGCTGTCCTCGACTCTAAGCATGGGAAACTTAGTCTCGCAGTCCTCTAGCCGAGGACAAAGTTCCAGAGACCTTTCATCGCCCGCTGGATCCACGCGAAGCTTATCAACCTCCGTGCACGATGGTTCCTTCAGCAGCAAACATTCCTCCATCCCTCTTGACCCCAGAGAACACGACTGGTTTGTCAAAGCGGCATCAGGCACATGGACCGACATCTACGCTCTCTTCCGAGACGACCCAAACCTCTTGAGCAAGCGAGACTTCATATCTGGCTTCACCGTCGTCCACTGGATCGCCAAACATGGCGACCATCGCGTCTTAAACACGCTGTGGTACGGCGTCGACAAAGTCGGGATGACTCTGGATGTCAACGCAAAGACCTTGGGTGGCTACACGCCGCTTCACCTGGCGGCCATTCATGGCCATAAGAAAGTCATTCGGCTCCTGGTGCAAAAGTTCAAGGCTGATGTGCGGATAAGGGACAGCAGTGGGAAGAGACCATGGCAATATCTGAGCAAAGACGAACAACGGGACATCTTAGAACTTCTGGGTGCACCACAAAAACGCATTAGTGGTAGTCCAGCAATGCCAGCAAACCTGTCCACAAGACCTGCGACAACCAAGGTGAACGTCAAAAGACATACGTCTATCGCTGCACTGTTCAAACACAATTCTCACTTGAGGGTCTCATCTGGTCCAGAAGCCTTGTTTTAGCGGCTAGATTGTTGTAAGGACCCTCACAATGGTGGCACTTTTTGCTGGTGAAAAAGCACTTAATTTTATAATTAAAATACGGAAACTTGCATCGAATGGTACAAAGTTTTTTTTCTTGTTTTGTAACCTTATATATGTCCACAACTGGGTTTGTGTGTTTTCTGTGAACGTCATTAGTACATTTTGGTGTTTTGAAACCGTGTGGCCGATATTATACACCTCTCTTGTATTATGAACGCATTATGCTAAAGGGATAGTTCACCCAAAAATGAAAGTTCTTTCATTATTTGCTCACCCTCATGTTGTTCCAAACCTGTTGGATTTTTTTGGTCCATGCAAGCAATGAATTTCAATGGGGTCCAATGTTGTTTTGGACCCCTCCAAAACAATGCAGTTCTTCAAAATATCAGAAGGTAGAAAGCCATACAGATTTGGAGCAACATGAAGGCGAGTGAATGATGGCAGGATTTAAATTTTGGGTGGACTATCCCTTAAACAAGTCTTATATGCAACAGTGTTTTGCTTGCACTGACACAAATTAGATTTCCAGTCTTGTTGTCTCAGACTGAGGATCATCTAAATACGTGTTCTGCTCATAACAAGTTTTTCATTTCCTCTGCAGGGACATCTTTGGTCCAGTGCCCTGTAATTGTTTTTACCCTTGAGCTCTGCAGGTGTAGGACACTTTTTGTGCCCCCTTTGTACTGAATCTAGGAAACTATGCAGACGATGTGAGCATTTCAGTCTCATTTACGGTTTTTGTTCTTGCTTTTCATGTTGGGATGTTGCAGTTGGTGACTACCTTCACATGATCTCACACTTTGATGCTCTCCAGCACTGTATGCATTCGTGATAAATACCACAGATAAGCTCCTAGATGGTTTAGACCGTTTAATATTTAACTCACCTTTCCTCCTTATCTCAATATGCTGGATGAGCGATATAGAAAAACCCCTCCAAATTCCAACCCATCTATAAGAACATTCCAGTTGTTGCTGAGGAGATGCCAAAACAACCGCAACTCACAGACCTCCTGAAGCGTTGCTTAAGCATCCGAGTGACTTAGGTCAAGTTTTCTCTCTCTCTCTCTCTCTCTTTTTTAGTTTTTCTCAGAATTATTTTATGGAGTGAGTTGAGGTGGGATTGGAAGTTCTCTGTTGAGGTTCAAGGCTTGATGATTTGCATGCTGGGCTAAACCTGTTTTAGTGTGTTCTGTCTGATCTGAGAGATACAGAAAAACAGAGTTTGGGAGGAGGGTTTAGTATGATCTGATCGGTGGAGTTGGGTGTTTTTCTTTATCTCTATCACAGTTGAGCGTTTTTTAACTCCATGGAAGCATCACGGCCTGATCTGTGGGTATGAAATGTGTTTGCTGACATGTTTCGACGTGTCCGGGTGTGTTGGCTGTGCTTCTGCTCTGCATTGAGTCTTGCATAATATTTACACTTTATGATGCACCTTTAAGTTCCAGGGTTATTATTTGAATAAAAGACAAAGACTTTGATCTTTGTAAAACCATCTTGACCTTTGATTCAATGCATTAAGATACAGACCAATCACATTGTTGGAGCATGAAATCAAGCAATCTTTCTCAGCATTTTTGGTTGTGCTTCATGCTACATTTTTATCATGCCATAATATCTGAACCTTTATGAGGCATATCGTGGTTTCATGCTGCTGTTTAAATGATTCAGATTGCTTGCTCAGCCTTGATAAAGTAGTGCATATCACCAGGGTTTAGCCGTTACCCTGATCTGGTTACCATTACATTGTTTGTTTGGCAGTTTCGCTAGTTTCCTGTTGCAGTATTCTTTGAAGTACCGACCATATTATGACCGTTATCAAGTGACTTGATTCTCTCTAAAGAGATCATTTCAAGATAAAGGTGAATGTATTCCCACACCTTCTGACCAGATGACCAATTTCCATGACAACGTTGCATTAAAATATGATTTACAAGCTATAGCAGTGTGTGGGATTCATTTATTTTTGGTTAGGTATAAAAGTGCTGAAATATGAGTGATTGTTTAATTAAAACAATTTTATTAATATACTAACATGCTAAGTGTCACTTCAGCGTTATCATTTTCCATAGTATGTTTACAAGACATGATCGAACAAAAAGTCTCAGTATTTTATTTTTATTAGAATTCACAAAACTGCAAAGAATGCAACTGCAAAACAATGAGGTTGTATTTCAAAAATAGATTTATTTTACCTTCCAATTGTGCTCTTTTTGCTTTTAAACAGTGTAAGGCAAGGCTGAACGGTTTCTTCAGATTAGCCCCAACAAACAAAAAAACAATTGCATGTGTATCGGTTCACAACAGCAGTTCTGCCTCTTATACAAGAACAGTCCGATAGAAATGCTTCTATTACGAGCATCTACAGTTTGCTGCTATTGCGGCCTTTTCATACAGATGTGCAGGGGTTAGATATTTCGTAAATAAAGATGTTCTCCAAATAAAAAACAGCCAGAAATTCAAATAAAATACAATATATTGGCAAAATAGTTGGGCATGTGCATTGTGATCAAACCAAGTAGAAGAAAACACCCTGCATGCAGCCGAGTTGTGAATAATATTCAGTTTTAACGGAATTTTCGCATCCTATTCACTATTGAAACCAAGTACTGATATTGTGTTCAAGTGCTGATGAACCATCATTATTTTTTCTGATTTAGGTATAATAGCACCTGTTAAAGCCGCCCAAAAACACCCTCGCTAGTCATTTGCTTACAAAAATACAATATCTATTCTGCTTTTTAACCATCTACATTTTAAAATCGCGAGGACCTGTTAAAGCCGCCCAAAAACACCCTCGCTAGTCATTTGCTTACAAAAATACAATATCTATTCTGCTTTTTAACCATCTACATTTTAAAATCACGAGGGGATTGAGTATGTACAGCAACGTACAGAGTACAAAATAGTTTCTAAACAATGTAAAATCATAAATAATCAGCTGTTGCCTTTATCGACAACAGGAATTTCAAATAGACAGAAAGTGTTTGCGTGTTCAATAGTTTCCTGTATTTGTGACGTCATAGTGGTTCAAGTGTTCCAAAGTGCTCAGGGGCTAGAAATTATTTGTGTTTCGGCCAATCACAACGAGGCATTTTGGGCCATTGAATTTGCATTGTGCTTCAGTGTTCTGCTATACGCCAAGTATGTAGTGTAAATGCACTGTGCATTTGCTTAGTGTAGATAAACCACAGTTATGGTCTTCCATACTTCAAAAAGTCAGAAATAGTCTCCTTCATTCAAGGCACTTGTCAGTGTGCATTGCGTTGAATCTGATTCGTCCTCAGCTGTAAGTGACATCATTCTATGATGGGCGGAGTCAGAGTGAGGTCACAGTGGTGGGACGTGGCAAGTGGGTGGAGTTAAAACAGTGTGGCGTTTGGGGGGCGGAGTCAGTGTTCTTTGGGCGGGACTCAGCGGGGAGGGTCTCCTCCAGCCTCTGCACTTGCTCCTCCCCCTGCCGTATGAGCTCGTCCAGGTGGCGCTGGCGAATCAGAAGGGCGGGTTTGATGCGGATGTAACGCTGGTAGTCGCGCAGCTGTGGGCCGCTCAGGTAACTCGCCAGAATGTCCAGAACCACTCGCTCGCGCCGGTCCAGGTTTTCCTTCAGCTCGCGAGCGTCTTCCTGTTGACTGCACAACTGCTTCCTCTTCAGCTGCAGCGATTCCTGTAGACACACACAAACATATCAGAAATTAATTATTTTATTCAGCAAGGATGCATTAAATTGACCTTCATAACTATCCCAGTACTAAAGCACAGTGTGTGTTTATGTGCGTGATGTTGGCGTCTCCCAAAGGCAAAGTGTTTATGATGCTGTAATCTTCTAAAATGATCTCTAATCGTTGTTTTGTACATGTTTATTTAAGACAGGATGGGTAAAAGTGGCTTTGCAGGGCAGTAGATGTGTCAGACTGATTACATTACAAACCAGATCCTTGTTTGTTCACTGGCGTATTAAAGCAGATAATCCCATTTTCCTTGTTCTTTTGAAACGCTTGATGATTTATAACATGCCTGATCATATCGGTCTGAAGTTTTGTGCACCACATTTCAGCGCAAATCGTTTTGTAAACCTGTAATGCAGGTCATTAGTTATACCACTTTGCAAAAACATTGTTTGCATGGATGTGACAGCACTAAATATAACGGATCGACAGCAGCAGGACATTTTTGCTTTGCTTTTTGCTGTACCTTGTACACCTTGTATGTAAACACCATATTTGCATATAAAATGATCAATAATTCTTTTTCATTACTGTCCATCTCATATAGGCAAAAACAGTGTTTACATAGAAGTCTTAAAAGTTACAGTAGCAAAAATGTCCCATTTAGTTCTAAACATTATTTTACTATAATTATATTATATATAATATATTTACAATTCACAAATGTTTACATTAATTTATTTTGTAGTATAATTGAAATACTATACTTTTTAATATTTTGAATTAGTTTTGATTTTATATTTTATATTATTATACTTTATATTTATATTCATATTTTGCCTTTTCATTTTATTTTAGTCAAAGTTTTAGTCATTTTGTTGTGCATTTTTGTCATTTTTTGTAAAAATTATGTATAGTAATATAGTTATTCATTTTTGCGCATCAAGTTTAACTAAATGAAAATGAGAAATGTTGTTTTGGCAACTAGCTGAAATAAAACATTTTATTTATAGTTTATAGTTTCATATATATTTTATATAGATGTTTTTTTTTTTTTGGCCCTATAATCCTCTTTCTTACTCTCTCAGTTGGCACGAATCCAAATGTTTCCATATTCACAATGTTGGCTATTTGAATTTGAATGCAACAGACTATTATTTATTATGCCTATGTAAACCAGGCTTTGTACTTAAACCGCTTTCCAATAAAAAAAAAAAATCATGGTCTTCTTCACATGAAAAATCATCCTTGTCACACGAGCAAATATATGCTTGGCCCGAATTTCAATAAAACATCTTTATTATATTTCTACGGTAGAAGACAATAGCCAAACCAAAAAGAAACAAAGAAAACACGATGTAACATTCATGCAGGTTGACGATCTTCTCCAGGTCTCCGACGAACATGCGGTACTTCTCTCTCTCGTTGGGTTTGCAGCGCTGCTGAACCAAAGCCTCCATGCTCTCGCCCAGAGCCGTGAAGCGCTTCTGCTGCTCCGAGAGCCCGTCTCTCTCCCCCTGCAGCGACCGCATGCTCACCCGCAGCGCCTGCAACAGCTCCACCTACAGGACCAGACACAACACTGCACCATCAACAAACACTGACTCGGGGAAATGAAGAATGGCTTTGTGTCATTGTGCTCATTTATGTGCCACTGCATTCAGTGAATACAATATGAATCCAGTATGAGAGTGTAAACAATGCAATCATTGTTACCACACAGCAAGCAAGCAAATAAATTAATCAAATTCAAATGTATCTTAACAAAATGTACAAATGTACAATGTACAAAAGTGGCCAAAAAATTAGATGTTAAAACATGTTTACATAAATCTAAAATATATGTATAAAAATATTTATATATTACAGTATATATTTTTGATTGATTTTAGTTACTTATATTTACTAGTTAATTTTTAATGTTAAAACATATTTACATTAATAAATATACAATTTCTGTATACAAATATTAAAAATATTTATGCATATATTTTTGAACAAATATATAATTATAATATATATATATATATATATATATATGTGTGTGTGTGTGTGTGTGTGTGTGTATAAAAAATATTTATAAATTATAATATAAATATTTTTGATAGCTTTTAGTTACTTATATTTCTTAGTTATTATTAGATGTTAAAACATATTTACATAAAGGAACATAAAAAGTGCATAAAAATAAAAAATATTTATGCATTACAAATATAAATATATTTTGGTAGGTTGCTTATATTTGGTGAGTGCTTATATTTACTAATTATTAGATGTTAAAACATTTGCATAAATATACAAAATCTATGTATAAAAATATTACAAATATAATGATATTTTTGATAGGGTTTAGTTACTTATATTTCTTAGTTATTTGTAGACATTACAAATAATTGAAATCATAATGAAATAATTAAATGTTAAAATAATAATTACATAAATGTTTTAATGAAAAATTATAAATTTTTATAAATTACAAATATAAATAACTAAACCTATCAAAATATATTTCCTAGTTATTATTAGATGTAAAAAATATTTTAAATCTTTCTATAAAAATATTTATGCATTACAAATATAAATCTATTTTTTGATGTTTTAATATTATTATTAGATGCTGAAACATACATAAATATATAAAATGCATGTATAGAATATTCATACATTAGAAATGTATTGATAATTGATAGGTTGCAGTTACGTACATTTCTTAATTATTATTCCTATTTATTTTTTATATGTTCATTTATAAATGTGTATCTGACCTTCTGATTCAAGTAATCTTCTTCGTCATCCAGGTTGGTTTCCATTTTTCTTGAAGCAGCCTGAGAGGGAGTATCTGGACCATCCTGAGCCCTAATGGAGGTCAAACACACCAAACAAAGAGTTTTACTCCTGAATGCCCTATTTAGTCAGATAGAGGGACAGAGAATGGCTCAAATCCACATTCCCCGTGTCAAACAGAGCACACGTAATTCCACGTTTAGTTCAGCGACTCAACAGAACAAACACACACCACGTATAATCAGGCGTAAAACGGTTTTATAAGTGACAGATAGATGTTTTAAAACAATTTACTGTGCTGTTACCATAGTACATACAGTAAATAAATGCATAAACCGATTTAGGAAAATGTATTTGCTTTGGATAAAAAGCAAAATGCCAAATTCATAAATGTAAAAAACAAGCTATTATCCTAGTATATGTGCAAAAAGCTGTTTTTTCATGGTATTATGTCCAAAACATACATGGCAGTACCATACTTTTCACAGTTTTGTTAATTATTTATGCATGCATAATCCTAATGCACTAAAACTAAAAAGTTTATTTAAGAAAGAAAATTGAATATTGTTATTAAACAATATATTTTATGAGCATGTCTGCAAAGCTGTGTCTAGTATCTGTGCGTGTCACAAGTTTGTCCATCCAGCAGGTAGATGGTGAAATGTGTGTATTTCATGATCGGCCACTAGATGTCAGTGTAGTCCTGCGCTCATTAGCGCGTCGCCTCTTATTATAGACCGGAGAGCGTGAGAGACGAACTGTGAAAAATCTGACAAAACTAATCAAGATCATCCGTTTTCTGGATATATGAGGTGAGAGAACATTCATCTGTTTTATCTATGAGTTCCCATGTGTTTGATATCTTTCCAAGCATGCCGTTGGTATGTTTGTGTTGGACATAAAGCTACAAATCCTGTTTTCAATGAATATATTTCATGTTTTCTTTCAAATGATGGTAAAATATGGCACCTTAGATCAGTGTATTTGTTTTATATGAGCACATGGATATCTTATTACATTGAAGCTTTTTTTTTTTTTAGTATGTAAGACCATATTTTTGGACCACGGTATTCTTTACTTGGAGTAATGATATAGCAATTTATATTATATGTCTGCTTGGTGAAATACCATTTTAAATCTACCAATAATTTCGTCAAAAGATTTAAACACCTACTTTTGAATATATTTTATGTAACAGATTTTGGGCTATTAGACCATTTGAGCTATTATTATCCATTTACTTACATATCAGCCATCTTAGTATTATTTATATACAATTAGAGTATTTATTAATACTAAATGATAAGTTCATAAAATTATAAAATAAAAAATAAAAATCATTTTTTTATATTTTTAGTTTTCATTATTATTATTATTATTATTGTTAATTTTTTTTATTAGGTTTTATATAACATATATTTTTTATTCGCGTTTTAGATTTAGTAATTTTGGTTTCATAAAATTCATAAAATTATAAAATAAAAAATAAAAATCATTTTTTTATATTTTTAGTTTTCATTATTATTATTATTATTATTATTATTGTTAATTTTTTTTATTAGGTTTTATATAACATATTTTTTATTCGCGTTTTAGATTTAGTAATTTTGGTACTTGTTCTTTTCACTTAGTTGCCAAGGCAATGATTATAATTTATTTATTTTTTTTAAGTTGAAGAATTTCATCTAACATTTCTGTTCTATTTTATTCTCCTTTATTTAAATTACTGGAAAAGAATTCTTAATAGTTTTAGTTTTAGCTAAGAGTAAAAACACTGCATCCTGGTTTCTAGATATCATTAACAGCCATTAAAAAGCCCATATTAGTCATTCAATACCTTGTGTACCATGTAAATAATATGCTAAATGAGTTCAGCAATCATTGAGTTAATGGTATACATCAAAGCACCACAATATTATCATCCAAAACCATCTCTGTACCACAGTACCGCCACAGTCGCTTTTTTCTAAGGAACATGAGTGAATTATGCACTAAATACAGGAAACATACAGAAGTGTGTCATTATCTTTACAACAGAGTTAACGCAGTAAAATTAGGCCGTGACCTGTGAGCACTAATATAATCGGCTTTTAACAAAGAGCTCTTGTGTTTATTGGTCCTGTGAGCATGAAATCCACCTGATTATTGGGTAACGCTATATACATGATTCCTGTGCTTTACCTTCACCATCTGTTCAGCACTCACCTGTCACTCAGATGGCTGCTGTGTGATGGGAAGATGTCCTCCATCAAATCCAGGGTGGTTTTACCTGCCCAGGTGTCCAGGAGCGAGGTGAGGGATTTGTCGTGGCTCACCAGCTCTCGGGCTAAAGTCTCCACGAGCAGCTCGGCTTGTGTCCGCTCTCGTCTGGACAGCAGATGGTAGTCGGGACCCAGGATCTCAGAGGCGTCCTGCTCTGGAGGAGCGCTGACAGGCGGCTGGGGTTGAGAGGCAGCGCTGGTGTTGTCAGGGCTCACCGAGGGAGTCGTGCGGTCGTTCGATGGCCGCTCAGGCTCTGGATGTGCCGTTGCGTCAGTCAGACTCTCACGGTTGCTGCAATGTAAAATGACAGAAAATCATGTTACGGTAATGAGGCTGAAGGATATTCGGGGTTCAGTACAATCGACGGCATGACAGAAATGAATTTCCACCAATTCCTTCCTTTTCTTTTGAAAAACATAAAACACAAGCAAAATCTGGGTTAAATCAGGCATTTACAAAGAAAGTAAATGGAGCCAATTTGTAAATTGTTAACTGTTTCAATAGTGCAGTCACAAGACATGCACAATACATGTGTTAAAGTGATTTTACAGTGAAAAAAAAAGCAAACGAACCTAACACAACTGAAAAACAGTTTAAAAAGCTTCATATTTCTGCTTTTAAATTCTGCTCCAAAAGCAGAAAACTTCCATTTTAATTACCCATATGGAGTCTGGCCAAAATATATTTAGAAATATATGCTGTAAGCAGCACAATTTAAGGAAATATATTTTTCAAATGGGAAAAATATTTAGTTTAAACCTTCAAATGCCAAAATATATTACAGAATGTACTTCAAGTGTCAGGAAAATACATTTCCAAACTTAAAATACTTTTTGGGTAAATGCAAAATGTTTTTTTTTAAATAAATAAATAAATTAGTTTATACAATATAAATATATTTAGATTGAAAATATATTAAAAATGGTCTAAAATAAATATTACTTAGCAAACATCTATATTAATTTGTGTAAATATATTTTACATTTACTGCCTCATTGCAACCATTATTTTTGCTTTTTTTTTTTTTTTTTAAGAAAACAAAGGACGAATTGCAATTGATTTTTGTGGTATTCAACATGGTCACAAATGCTGCAGACTGAGTTTAACTTGTATTGAACCCAGAACACTCCTTTAAATGTGACTGTACTGTAACATTTTAGCATGGTGAATGTGATTGACATGTTCGTTTGTTGTTCTTGGAACAACATTCCTATCAAACAAATCATAAGCCAAACCCTAACCTACATTTAAAAAATCACGAGGGATATGATTGGCACATAAAATCATCTTGTTCAAGCCCTTAATCCCTCAAATCTGATTAGTTGATAGAAACCTTGTTTCCAGACCAACAAGAAGTGTCTCTACCTGATGGGTCGTAATAGTCCCGGATGCTGTAAAGACACTTCCACGTTCTCCTCGACTGGGGGTGTGAGAGGCGGAGGAGGCGGGAAGTCCTCCGTAATCTCGGTCTCTCTGATGGGCAGTGGTGCAGGCGGTGGTGGAGGCACAAAAAACACTTCATCATCATCTTGAGACACAGCTATACTCTGAACATCTACAAGGTTAGAATCTGAGATCCAAAGAGAGAGAAGTGGCTTTGTTGGGGAAACCGGGCTCATGGGAAGGATTTGCAGCCTTGTGCTAAGTTGTGACCCCGTGACCTCTGGGTGTGGAGGTGATGGAGTGGCCACCGGACACGGGAAGTCCTTCAGGGTGTCTTCAGAAGTGCTGGTGTCGCTGGAGTTTTGCCGCACCATTCCCAGTGGACTCTTCTGACTATGTGGGCCAGTTTCGGGAAATGCAATAGAGTCCAGGTTGGGCTGATGCAGTCTGTCTCCGTTATGCCAGTCGAGGCTGGCAGCAGTGCCTGGAGAGGTGAAAGGGCAAGGGAGTCCCACAGACGCAGCCAGACCTGAAGCACTCTGCGCTCTAGGCCGGTCCGAATGTCTCGGACGCTCACGCCTCAACACAGGTGCGTTTTGCTGGACAGGACCCTGGTTTAGCTGGTAACTCCTCTCCATATGTGCTGAACTTGATGGCTGTTTGTGTCCCATGTTCGCCAACACCCTATTAAAGGCACAATATGTAAGTTTTCGCCACTCGAGGTCGCATTTTCAAAACAATAACAAAGGCGAAGCTTGATGATGCTATGAAGGAGGATGTTCCCGGATGAGGTAATGAATTATTATTTTTTTATTACATGTACTTTCCACAGTTATTCAAGCAGCAAATAAATTATACAAGAGAATGCGAGCAAAGAACATTTACATTGTCAAAGAACATTATGACTGACTTCAGTCTAGCGCGAGTTTAAGCACTCTCAAAAAACTCCCCATATAATCAGTAAAGATGTCTATACACGGTTTGATGAATGAATCTCTTACATCATACTTACATCTGCACTTTGTTGTTTATGAGAGAATTCGCGTGAGAGCTGAATTCAGTCAGGCGTGCAGTGAACAAAAAACTCTTCTGAACGCCTCTGATTGGCCATTGCATTCATAAGCTCAACAGACTCGTGTGTGATTGGTTATAATGCGCAACACTGTAAAAACGTGTGTAAAAAATAATGGCGCAACATTAAGCAGATCTAAATTTAATGCTGCGGTCAACACTTTTCATTTCATTTTCACTTTATTCGCAACAGCCATAATGTATTTAGTTTAACTGTATAGCAGCATTTGTGTCTGTGTGTTGCCATAGTTACTACAAGCGGAAACTGAGGATAGTGCGGATATGACGTCATTGATAGGCGACAATGACTAGGGACGAGTCATTATTTAAAATTGGAATTTCTCTGGATTTACAAATCCTTGGGAACTTTTGGGATAACATAAATACAGAACTGCATGAAATATACCACACTGTGCAAGTAGTTTTTGGATATCTGATTATGAAAATCTTACATATTGTGCCTTTAAAACATGCATATGAAATGGGAAAGTACCATCATTATGTTGGTTTCCAATACCTGTCATTTTTTAAAGTAAATTAAATGCAAATCATTTATCCTTCTGGTGGGAATTTGTGCATGGCACAAAACAAACTCAAAAATAGCTGCAGCGGGACTCTGTCACTGCCACTGACCGATTAAGGGTTGGTCCTTAATTTAAGACCTTTTATGGGTAAATATTTCCATAAAACTCTGTTTCAAATAGTTTTGAACTTGCAAAGAAATTCTTGCTCTTTAAAGGGCTGCACAATTCAAGGAACAAAAATGTTCCTCATGCAAATTTGTCTTAATTTAAAGCCTATAGAATGCAAATATAGATCATCCAATGAAAAAATGTTTATATGTATAATTGTTTTAGTATGTGAATTCTGTGCAGAATAATATCTACACATGTTGTATATGGGACTTTATTTGTAAGACATGAGAAGTGAATGTTTTTTAATGTATACACAAACCTGTTTTCAAAGGATTCCTTGGAGGAAACTCTCAACAACTGAAGGTCTCTGGCTAAGAAGTCCTAGACAAAAAGAGAACAAAAGAACAAATAATATTTTTATGAGCAGGTGACATTGTAGCACTTTCTGGTAGAGGTGAAAATAGTGAAGTTTCATTCACCAGGAACAATCAGTTAATCATTATTTCATGATTACCTCAAGTTTAGAGAACGTTGGTACTTTAATGTTAATTTTAAACTCAAGCACATGCCATGACTACTGATAAACTAAGATCAGTTAATAAAAATAGACACAGCATGACAACATCCTCATAGCTGAACTATGTCGTATTTAATTAGCATGAACTGTGAACAGATGCAAAGACTGTGACCTGAATGGTGTGCTTGGTTTTGATCTTTTTTCATGGCCAGAATGTTTAGGTTTATGTAAAGTCACAATATCAGCAAGTAGCAATGTCATCATGCTGGTATTTTATCTCCTGCTTGAACCATTTCCAATTGTGCGTTGCTGGAATAGTCTGGGATTTCACAGGATAGTTGTGCGTCTACTGTACACGGTCATCATCATACCAGAACCATTATCGTTTACATAAAGGATAATTATTCTCCTAGATAAATGGTTTTCTTAACCATTCCAAATATTTTAAACCCAAAACCATGATGGGTTGTCCATTATCTCCAACTCCTCCCCTCTGGCACAGAAGGAGTGCAGTTATCTGTTGCACATCTGTCAGATCTCTGACTAAAACCCAGGCTCTGTGGCACCAAACAGGAAGTGAGGAGCACTGGCCTCTTCCTGTGGAGCACCAGGAGTGGGTACAAAAACGATTATCTGCCCATCTATAGGAAAGGGACTGTTCTTTTGCCCTATAACAGACAGACCACCAAGTACCATAATTGTCTGAAAACGTATACACTGATTATCACTGAACACCAGCTTAACTGTTGCCCCAAAAATTAAAATGCCATTATTTATCCACCCTCATGTCAAGACATAATTTCTTCTGTGGAAGATAAAAAAGAAGATATTTTGAAGACTGTTTTTGTCCATACAATGAGTCCAAGTTTTGGTGTCAAAAACAAGGTCCAGTTGGACCCCATTGACTCTTATTGTATGGACAACATTCTTCAAAATATCCTCATTTGCATTCCACAGAAAAAATAATTATACAAGTTTTTAGTGACATAAATGTGAGCAAATGATGACCATTTTCATTTTTAAAAAAGTTGGTGGGAAGAAAAATGTTATAGTTTGCTTATGACTGCTGATTCTCTACAGTTCTGAGGGTTTTTCATTAGCTTTCTATCTAAGGAAACTCTTGAGTGAGTAATCAGTTGTAACTATCCAATAAGAGGGTTAAAATAAGCAAATTTACTCTGCCATGAACATTATTGTTTAACTGTGTGGTATGAAGTCACGTCACTTCAATGATCTAACCAATGACACAGTCAAGTTCACCCAGCTAATAAATGAGTGTTACCTGACTAAAGTTCTCCACAGGAGATGACTTGGATCGAAAGTGCTGAGAAATGGGACGTTCTTCACTACGGTCCAGCAAATCCTCAGCTGAAGCTGACCTCCCTGAGCTTCTGGCAGAGGTGGCTCTCTCAAAAGAGACTTCCAAGTGCTGCGGAAGGGTATGTCTGGTCAGGACTGGGCCTGATTTTTGAGATCCAGGATTTGTGCCTTCTGACTGCTGGCCAAAAACCTCAGGCCGTGTGTGGTTGTGGCTTCCCCTAAGGGGGTAAAAGGAGCTTTGCATTCCAGCTGGAAGGGTGGAGGATTTACGTTTACCACCAGTGAGGCCATCATATGCTGGCTCTTGCAAAGAGCTCATACTTGGGGTGGAGATGAGGATTCGTGAGTCAGCAGAAGAGGAAGAAGCGGACTGTAGATAAGCGCTATGTGGGCGGTTTGGACGTCCGTCTACTCTTCTACCTGTTTTGCGCTCAATATACTCAACAAGTGCATCTTGTTGCATTTGCTTCAAATCAGGCCTGGAGGAGAAAAATCTGGGGTCAGCGTTACGATTCGCCACCTGCTCGAACATCCTGCGTCTGTCCGCAACACTCGTCTCACTTGCCAGAAACTGTTGTTGAACCTTCCTGTCAGCCTGATTGGTTTCCTGAGTCAACACTCCAACTTCATGCATGTTTTCAGGCTCAGAATACGATCGCTTTTTTTGCTCCGTTGTGAATCGTTTGCGTCCACAGATCCGCATAACTGGGGGTCCAACAGCTGGGACACTGGGGAGGTCAGGAGTAGAGGCTCTGTTTGGTGCTTCAACAGGAACAACATGACGTTCCTTTGGAGTGTGTGGGGATGTTGTAGCTGGTTTTGGACTTGTACTGGGTCCTTTTCGTTCTAGAGACATGTGCTTAGCTGGCACTGGTGGAGGGTCAAAGCTAAGGTCACGTCTTCTGAAGGAAGTTGACCTCAGAACCATAGACTGGGCATCTTTAATGCTGTCTCTATATGCTCTGTTAAAAGATGTGTCTTGGATGGTGCCCAAGATGTCATGAATGTCACCTTTCCCATGGATGTCTTTTCCATTCCCCTCACCAAGCTGAAAGGTGCTCTTACTTCTTTGAAGACAGGTCTTATGGGCAACAACAGGCTGTCGATGTTGGACATGATCACTACTCCCACGTCTTGTTAGGAAATCTTGATGCACATCCATGTGTCCATCATAACTTGCCATGCTAGAAGTACTTTGAGTTCTCCCATGAGGAACCGAGCTGTTGCTTCTCTCCAACATGTTGCGCAAATCCTCTACACCAGAGAAGGAGCTCTTGGCACTGGAAGGTCGTGGCATTTGGCTCGGACGAGCCGTAGAACCATGGTGGGAGAGGCTGCTATGACTGCGAGGTTTGACTTGCTGTCTCTCAAAATGACTTACTTTCTCCAGCACGGACATGCTACGCTCACTTTGGAAACTGGATTGGCTAGTTGTACTCTCGGGACTGGTGCATCGTTGAACCTCAGCAAGTGCATTCTCCAATCTGGTCAAGGGGTGATCCAGGTCTTGACCTCTCTCCTGGAGAGCACTAGAGTCACTGTAGTGCCTTGAAGGTTTTATTATGTGGTCACTTCCTTGAGTTTGCATGAAGTTTCCTCTGTGTGTTTGAGCAACTTGTCCCTGTGAAACTTTCCCAGTGTAAACTGGGTCTGGATGGATGCTTTGCTCTTTGCATTTATTTTGTTCTTCATCTTGAGGTGGCCTATAGTTGTTGTAATCCTCCATACCAAGAGAGAACTTTGGTCTCTCTCCTCTTGGTTGCACAGGGGTGTAAGGGTCCCTCCTTTCCTGGGGTACATATGGCGTTTGTGACTTCTGCATTTGTGGTTGCCAATGAGGTCGATAAAAACCAGGTTTGACTTGAGTGTCATCTTGCACTCTATCGGACAGCTTTGGTTGTGCCGAAACATGAGTTTGGACAGGGTTTGAGCTAGGAGCATTGCTTTGGTATCCGTTTTCAATGGTGACCCTGTCCTCTTTTACTGGTCCACCCAAGTGGTCACAGTGATTGTTGTGCTTGCTCTCCTTGGCCAGTGCTGGGTATACAGTTCCAGAGCTTGGGTTGCTGGTTGGAATTTGTGCAAAATGAGGCTCGGGAGGTGGAACAGGGTAGATACTAGTGGGTAACATGAGGCGACCGGGTTGTGCAGCCTGAGGAAAACCCTGTTTAGGTTTGGTGGTGGGGCTACTTTCAGGGCTTTTTTCTATGACTGTGTGCAACTGACCTTCAGCACCAAACGAGGACTTTCCTGTTGCCACAGAACCACTCGAGTGATGCCAGGAACCCTTGTGAAGTGCCCGCTGCGACCGAGCATGTTCAAGACTTGACCAGGAGTTGGGACGCTCATGATTGCGAAATGCTGCATAGCTGTCACTGCGTAATGGAGGGGCTGGAGCCCCCTTTAGGTTCTCATAGGAGTGCCGGTTGTGCGCTGGATCCCAGACTGGCCCAACACTGTGACGTTGTGAGCTGGAGGTGCTTCCGCTACTCCCACTGCTTCCACTACTACTGCTGCCACGATGACAGATCTGGCCTGAGACATTCCCACTTCTAGACTGTGCTCTGCTGTCACTGGATCTCATAAGGGCTGCAGAGCTGATCTCATGCTCTTCAGACACACCCTGTTGGGGGTCGTACACAGTGCGTATGTAGCGTATATCAGCCTGCTGCATCCCTTCTCTCTGTGGAACGTTTTCCATGGAATATGACCTCTCCTTGTTAAACAATGGTGCCGCTGCAAGATACTCTGGGATACTGGAGCTGGTTGAGAAGGAACTGTATGCAGAATCCCGCTTGCTATGCAGATGATCAATGCTACTGGAGGATTTGGATGATGATAGTTGATAGCAGGAGCTGTAGGCTGGGTGAGTGTGGTCTAGGCTCTCCATGCTGCCCCGGGAACTGTACTGATCTGGGCTCTTCCTAAGGAATCCTGTCTCAAATCCCGATAGATCTGTGGTTGAGGCACTGCAGAAAAAAAACAAAAGACACATGAGTAATATAGTATTAACTGTATATTCAAGTTATTTAGGGTCATTAGATTAAATGGAAAACATCAATGACCCAAAATAACTTAGGTCAACAGTTTAACTAAAAATTCTATTAAATGAATTGTTGTATATTGAGATAGGACAATGTACAAAATAACATGCAATTAAATACAAAAGTAATTCTCATTATTTTACTGGGATGGGGAAAAAGATAAGAATAGACCTAAGAACAATAATTTTTACTGGGATAATATAACTGCAGATCGAGATGCTGTTCTGGTTGTCGGTCTGAGCTAAATTAGTAGCTGTTAAAGACTTGGACAGACATCAAAGACATTGATTTACTACTTCTTATGAAATAAGAATGAGTTCATAGCCACAATTTCAGTTTGCTATCCTTGCAACTCAATTATTCACCATAAAGAACAAAGATTAGATTACACCTGATAAGAATAACTGTTACAATGCAACTGATGTTATTGATGTCTGGACTGTTTACAACATATCTGGTGTCGATTACACTGTAAAATCCATCAAGTTGTAGTGAATTTGCATTGAGATTCCCTTTCTTCGTACTTACTCTTCTCTCTTCCCTGGCCTAATGATAATGTGACAAATCTACACCGTTAGATCTGTTACCAAACTCATTGACTGTGGGAATTGGCTACGTAAAGGTTGGAATCATGGCAATATGTTTTTGCGTGTGATGCACTGGGTCTGCTGAGGCGACTGCCCTTTTATGGGTATGTGATTGCCGGACTCTGAAAGCTGGCATCAGGCCGCTGGTATTTCTGCTGGTATAATTAACATGATGTCACTGACCCATTGTCAACAGCTCTGCAGTTACCCCTCTAAGAACTAGATCAACCAATCACAAGTCAGTCCATCAAACAATGACAACCGGGTCTCAAAAAGTGGAACACTATTGGTGACCATTGCCATGGGAACCTTCAGAGGGTTGTTGAGGGAGTGTCATCCCAAAGAATGTTTTTTTCATTAGACTGTGCGTCAATGCTTAGCTCTCTGGTCCCCTTCAAACACTCTAAATGTTTTTCTTTCAGTGTCATCATTGATGGCCCTTGAACGTTCTGGACTAAATACAGTGATAATGACCGTGATAACAAGGTAGTATGCAGCAACTAAATAAATTATGTCCATGATCATACACAACAGGAAAACTATCAACAGAAAGACAATAGAGCCACTTCTGACCGAGATAATCAACATTCATATCTAGAAACATTAATGTTCATGGACCTTTCAAGCCATTGGTTTATGAATATGCACCTACATGCCACTTAAATTAAACAGTCAAGAGCATATGTAAAATATTTTAGTTTATGTATGTGGCATGCTCGATAACATTCATGTTTCAAGAGTAGGGCTGGGTGATACGGCAAAAAAATAAAATCTTGATTTATTTTTTTTCAGAACGTTTGACCGATTCTCGATTTTTTACGATTTTTAACTAGCTTGAAAATGTAACTACAACATGATTCAAGTAACTTTTTCTTTATTAACCCAATTTATTTTTCCAAGTGCACCACACATGAGGTAGTCAACATGATGTAAATGTTAAACAAATCAGAAAAGATGCATGAACTACAACTACATCTTGTACAAACTTGTCTTATACATATTATATGTTCAGAAATAATACAAGGAAAATGCTTTAAAAAAATTCTCAAAAGTCAAGGTAATTCAAATTCAAAATGACTGAAGGTATAACACCAGTAGACTATTATTAACTATAAATGTTCTATAAAAACAATGAACAGCAGCTTTCAGCCTGTCACCATGATGCAAACATGAAATATCAGACATACAGTAGTAGTTCTTTACAGGTTTTTTTTATTCGATTGCGCTGCTTTTCCATTGTTTATTCTATGTAAACATGGACGCGTTTGACTGTTGCACTCGCTGAAACGGCATTCAAAAAATCTTCTTGCATTTTTTCCTATTCCACTGCCTGCGTTGCATCTTTGTCAACACAAAACCGCATTCTGTGTGAATGGCACCTTGCAATATAATCTACTTATTGTCCTTCACAGAGCGCGTCACACGTGAGCGGTTAATCACGAGCACCAACATGTGGTTGGATCATTCTTTTCTCTTCACTGTTATCATTGGCATATTGTCCAATTCTAACGTTTGGTAATATTTCTATTCAAAATCGTGATTCCTCGATTTCTAAAAAATAAAATTGCAGCAAAATATTAAATTTCGAATTAATCAATAAAATTGGAAAAATTGCCCAAGAGGTTGCAATTTATAGGAAACACCTCATGAAGTCAAATCAGGTGCTGCAACCCAAACTAAGGACGTAATATTCTCTCTCTCTGAATAAATGTCTTCATTGTTAGTGGATTATTGCTAAGCTGACTTGGCCGATCCTTCAGTTTCATTGCTGGGAACTGTAAAAAAATGTCATCATTATTATATTTCGGTCATGATTGAATCTGACATGCAATCCTTGTGAAATATAGAAGAAAGGCAGATTGTTACATTGTTTGCTCTTAAACAGAGGCATCAGACTTCAGGTGTGTTTGAGTTGCACTGACCTGGAGTGGTAGCTCTGGTGCCAGGGGGCTCCCACACCACCCTGGGTGACTTGCATCATGCTGTCTGAGTCCTGAGGGCCCTCGCCCAGTTTCGTAGAATGCCAAGAATGAGGTCGAGATCCAGGCTCACTCCGTCTGGGAAAGAGAGATTTAAAGACATAAAAATCTATGCATTTCTTTTGCAGAACGCAACTCAAATGCATAAAGTTAAACACAAATATAGTAACTATGCTTTCACAAAAAACTCAACAAGAATACAAAAACAGTTTGGCGAGAAGTCAAAGTAGTTTAATGTAAACATACAGCATGCATTGTCTTGTGTAGTCAAGGCCACTGAGGATCAAAACATCCATGAAGAATGGGGCACTGCCTTATTACCAGAATCTCTAAATAGATATTTCCTAATCTAGTCACTGACAGATTGAACATTTATATATTATAATATTAATTCATAAGAATGAGAAATAAAATTCTGGGAAGCTGGAAGTAGATTTCTATTTCTGTTTTTTTTTTGGCACAGAGTGTTGAACTGTTTTCGAAACATGGCAAGAATGCCGGCATTGTCTAAAACAAAAACATTTTTGGTTACAAACTGCGTGGAACATAATGAATGTTTTTCATAAAACGATCAGCAGACTGTCTGTACCTACTGCTGCTCCAGACATTCAAACACACACACACACACACACACACACAATGCCAGTTTGTGCCCAACCAGTCTGCTGACTGAAGTGACCTACTAAGGTCTTTAATGATGGTGTGAGATCAGTAGCCAGAAAGACAAAGCCAGTATGAGACTAAAGATCATGTTCAGTCAGCTGACTGGGCAAATGTAGCACATACCTCTGTTAGTGCTCTTCTAGAATTGCGCCATTCTGTAACTCTGGGCTTGAATGGAGCATTACAGTTCTAGGGCAGTGATTCTCAAAGTCCGGACTCCTGGGGGAATTCAATCCGGACCCGCCCCCATTTCGTATTTCAAGAGCACTAATTATATTTCCTAATTTGATAAACGCATGTTAAACTTGTAAATCATTTGTTTAGTTTTTTAAAATGCCTTTTTAAGATGGTCCGAAATGAAAGCATCGAGATATTGAAACTTTTCCCTCATGACATTTGTTGTCATGACATCCAGTGAGCATATGACGTTTGACATAATCGGGCGACATTTCACTGCTAATATGAGTATTTTTAAAATTTTTGTTATCACTTAGATTATGGCCATTTGACTTATAGCAGTGCCCAGTGTTTCCCATACATTGATTTATTTGTGGCGGCCCGTCACAATATCAAAACTGACCGCCACAAATAGATTTTCCAAAAGGCTTATACTTCGTTGAATAAACTGAGCACTGCACGTTTCAATATTAAAATGCAGGCGGGTGTTTTTATATGAATGTATAAGAACCGACTGTCTTCAGAAAAGCTTCGATGTCATTTTCATTTCGTCTTTCTTGTAATGCCTGATAAAGTAGCGTTTGTGAGCGCAGCGCTTATTTGATTACAGTCGTTACCAGGGAAACCTCTATACTTCTCCCGCTCCAACAGCGCCTCCTACTGGCAGAGAATGAATTTGCATTTGCAAGTCTGTGGGAAACACTGGTGTGTGTCAGCAAACATAAACAAAAAGCATGCTTCAGAACTGTTTTGAGAAGGTGCTTAAGTTTTGAGCCATGTATTAGGCCTGTTAATATGAATTAGGCTGCTACTACTACTACTACTATTACCATCTTGTGCCCTGCAATAAACATTTACTCTACTCTCTTTTATGAGAAAAGAAAAAAAAAAAAAAAAGAAAATCGGCCAAACATATCGGCCAAAAAAAATCAGCATCATATATCGGCCGCCCTGATTTCTAAATATCGGCACCGGCCAGAGAAAAACACTTATCAGTCGACCTCTATTGCTGGCACTTAAATGAATTGTTTTGCCACTCTTGCACTTGTTATTAATGTATTTTGAATGCAAAGGGCACTTT